GTCCTTAGGCTAATTTGGTAATCCGATAATTTCGCAATTCGAAAGTTTGATAATTTGACCGTGAACGTTAATGCGGACTATCGGAAAATTCGAAACGTTTGAATGAATTGGAGGGCGAAATAAGAATTGGAAGGATTATTTTTATGTTATATCTTTATCTTTCTTAACCTCTTCCCGTGCTTTGACGAATCTGACTCGTGACGCACTTACTACTCAAATGTGACAAACCTTACTTAAATACTCTTTAGCTTGAAATTTAGGTGCAGCTATTAGTTGCATTATCAAGGATCCCTGAATATAAAATACGCACATTTCAATTTTCTTTGTTCGATTTAATGTTATAGCCCTGATTAGTTAGTCTTGACGCATCTGATAAATAAGTGGTATGATAAGGGGTTAACTGTAGAGTATTTACAGGGAAAAACGTGAAGCGAATTAAGAAAGAAATGTCAAGATCGTTGTTTTGAGATCTGAAGACTTCCGGATACCGGAAGCGGAACACAAGGAATTACGGGGCCACGCGGAACCGACAGATCCTCGTAATTGCTCGACAACGATAATCCACTTTGGAACGCGAAAACCACGACATTGTCGAATATCAACTGGCGCAATTTTATTTCAATAAAGTGGCCGATGCGGTGAAATTGAAAACGGAGAGTCGGGGCGAGCGTAATTTCCGCGGCAAACCAGACAAGGACGGCGTTCTTCGAGGACGGTCGTACTGTAAACGTCTGGCATTTTTCATGGAAATTGCTCGGCAATTTCCGTGCTGTCCCACGCCGGGGGGAGAATATCTAGAAAGAAAGAAGGTGAAAGAGAACGAACGGAATGAAGGAGATGTAAAAAAAGAAGGACTGGTAACCAAGCCGTTCCTCGCCGCTATGACGAACGTGTCTATTAACGGCAATTTCAGTTAAACTATGTTTGACTTGCGGCAATGGCGCACCCACCGAACCATCGCCACCCAGATGCCATCACCACCGAGTAAGAACCTCATCGATGTTACCCGCCGTCTCTAACTAACGTTCCAAATCACCCCCGTTCACACCCTTTCGCCCCTGCAGAGACGCCACAGTGCTGCGGTCTTCGACTAACCGCCTGATAAGCTCTCGGCTTTCCAACAACAACGGCGCCAGGAAAATAATTAACCTGTATGTTCTTCACCCACCTAACTCAGGCCCTTTCGACCCACGATTCCCTCAATGGTTAACAAGAGGCCTCAGACTTGCGGTTCTGTTTCACTAATACCTAAGTGCTCCTACTACCTTTTCGCAAAATCAATTTACCGAGTTACCCGGACTTTTTTTTAGAGGAAAGTTTTTCTGATGGAACGTCTGGGAATTAAGTTTATTTGTTGGGGATGGTTGGGGAGAATTTGAAATTTTTGGACGCTGAGGTTTTAGAAGGTTGTAGGTTAGGGTTGGGGTGAGGTTTGCAAAATTTAGATGTTTACATACTTGATGTTTTAAGGTTCTGTAGACTGAGGTTCTGATATTTTAAGGTTCTGTAGACTGAGGTTCTGATGTTTTAAGGTTCTAGCAGTTCAACTGTGGTTTTGATTCTGAACATAATCAGCGATCACCCAATTTTAAGTTCTAACCTCTAACTTCCTCAAATGTCCCTAAATTACGTCGTTCGAAAATTCTAATGTCTTCACATTTCAAAGTGTTGAAATTCCAACATTCTCAAACTCCATCCCCAAACTGCGGCGTCCCGAAATCCGAACGTTCTCAAATTCCAGTGCCGCCAAATTTAAACGTCATTAAATTACTATGTCCGAAAATTTCAGCGTCCCCAAATTAGAATGTCCTAAAATTTCAACGTCTTCATATTTCTACCCCCAAATTAAAACTTCTTGAAATTTCAACGTTGCCGAATTATAACGTCTTCTTTCCATGTCCGAAATCTTAATTTCTTCAAATTCCAACATAATTGAATTGTAATGTTCCCGAATTATAACCTCCCCAAGTTACATATTGTAATCCTGGATTCTGTAAGGTTCAACGTCCCCAAATTACAGTTTGTTCAAATTTCAACTTCCCCAAATTGTAATGTCCTCCGATTACAACCTCCCCAAATACTAACATCCCTAAATCCCTAAATTCCCCAAATTGTAATGTCCTCCGATTACAACCTCCCCAAATACTAACATCCCTAAATCTCTAAATTCCCCAAATTGTAATGTCCTCCGATTACAACCTCTCCAAATACTAACATCCCTAAATCCCTAAATTCCCCAAATTGTAATGTCCTTCGATTACAACCTCCCCAAATACCAACATCCCTAAATCCCCAAATTCCCCAAAATCCTACAGCCAAAAAATCTCAAAGTCCCCAAATCATCCCCCAGTCCCAAACCTCCCCTCTCCGAACACTCCAAAATCCAAAACCCCTTCGTAACCTAAAACAGCCCTAAATCCTGAAATATCGAGAGATTTGTAAAGTTGAAAAATTTGTTAAAATATATATCAGCATCATAAATCAGCTCGCACCTCGATGCATGCACGTTTATTTCTAAAACATTTTCATTTTCTCCAACGGCGAGGAATTTATCTCGTGTGCCGGCTTTCGCGTGCCTCCCATCCGGAACACACAATTCCACGATGTTTTGTGCTCGTAAGCAGCCAAGCATTTTGTTTGATTCGTTTTAAACAAAGCGCTATTTGTCACGGAAGTTGCGCCGCAGGTGGACCGAGGGAAACGACGCCGGACGACGGAAAAAAGAAGAGAAGGACGTGTAACATGGTCGTACGTTAGTACAGTGATAATTTCGCGACTTGTAATGCTCTTTGAGCTTAAAACTGCGAAATTATGGTGGCTCTCGGTAACTTCACGCTGCGTCAAAACTTTCGGCTACCGTTTAACGTATGACCGCTTTATTTATTATACAACGGGTATTCTGTAATTGTACGATGAATTCGAAGTATATCTCTATTTACGGACGTGTTCGATTTTAAGGAGAAAGCGTTACTGCCTTTTCGATCTGAATTATCGAAGAATTTGCAAAAGCCTGATTAGAGCGCAGATTAAAGCATCGTTAATCTTCGACGAGGAGTACATCTGTGGCAGGGTCGTAATCGCTAAATTCCTATAATTTCTCAACCCTTAGCAACCTCTGCTCCCTGAAAACTGGCGGGGAACGAAGCTTTTCTCCGAGCTCTTTATATCAGCGAAAGGTATAATTATACGCAAGAAGTAGTCTTAAATATTTGAGCTTCTCTCTTCCTTCTTGCACCCGTTCTCGCGTGACCAAAACACGCAGCAATGAAACATCGGGTCAGTGAGGTTAGCGGAGTACCATAATCCGTTCGGGTTAAGGATGCCTGTAAGAAGGCGAATGGGAAAAGCAGAAGGCGATTCGGAGCAGAGAGATTAGGGAGCAAAGTTACATCCGCTATTTTGCGGGCAGATTTGCATAAATCCCGGTTCTTTTCCGTCTCCTTTTTTTCCTCCTCCCTGGGTCTCCTTTTAATCGACCCCTTTCTGTCCGTTCATTTTTCATGCACGCGCTCGTCTACCACCGGCTAATTATCTGCCATTTGATAATCCTCGGCCGCGCCTCTCTCTTTTTCATTCAACATTTTATACGGTGAATTTTATCGTCCCCTATTTGCCACGCTAATTTCGGATTCAGCCTTTCTTCCCGTTGCCCCGTACGATCGAGCTTTATTCAGAAGCCGTAGAACAAAATCTGATCTCGAGCGGACGCGGCGTTTTCACTTGATAAAAAACCCGACGCTGAAGGAAATGGAGTGGTACGAGCTCGGTGGATCTTGGAACGCCGGGCACGTATGAAGGAAAGGCTCGTGTTTTAAGAGCTGAAAGCTCAAGATCACTCTTGGCTCGCCTGTTTCGCGCCATTGACCAATTTTCAACAGCCGGCGTAAGAGGGAGCGTAGCATAAATCGTTGATAAATCATCCGAGTGCAAGGGAACGGTGCGCGTAATTACCGCCTTATTAATTGCCGGAACAATTGCATTTTCCAGTTATTTTTGCGCGTGCACGCGTCGTCGTTTAAAAGTTCCAGGTGGTTTGCTAAGAAAGAGGACGAAGAAATGAGCGATGCTGGAAAATTTCTACGTGAAGTTGGATACTTTACATGCGCGGTTATTTATACGTTGTTTATTTAGATGGTGCTTACTTATATGGCTATGGAGCATTTACATAGCTGTGAAGCATTTATGTGACTGTGGAATACTTATACGGTTGTGGAGCATTTATATGACGGCTGTGGTGTGCGTCACGTAGCTGTGGAGCATTTACATGGCGGTTATGGAGTACTTACATAGCTGTGGAGCATTTACATGGCTGTGGAGTATGTTACATAGCTATGGAACATTTACATGGCAGTTATGGAGTACTTACTTAGCTGTGGAGCATTTATATGGCGGCTATGGAGTACTTACATGGCTGTGGATCATTTACATGGCGGTTATGGAGCATTTACATAGCTGTGGAGCATTTACATGGCTGTGGAGTATGTTACATAGCTATGGAACATTTACATGGCAGTTATGGAGTACTTACTTAGCTGTGGAGCATTTATATGGCGGCTATGGAGTACTTACATGGCTGAGGAGTATTTACATAGCTGTGGGGCATTTACATTGCGGTTATGGAGTACTTACATGGCTGCAGAGTATTTACAAGACTATAGAGTACTTCCATGCCTACAGAGCATTTACGTGGCGGCTATGAACACTTATATAGCGGCTATCGGTTACTTATGTGGCGGTTAAAAAATACTTATGTGACGGCTATGAAATACTTATATGATTAGAAAGTTTACATATATGACAGCATACACGCACTATCTAAATATCGATAAAATCACATTAATATAAAACAGCAAACCAAATCATCCCACACAAAAATCAATAATTAAAATCTTCAATAATTCATGTTATCACCTGCCTCCATATGTAACGTATTAACCACTGAATATGTGGCGTTCTAATTTCTTAAAATTGTAACGAATAACGTTAATAATTGGTTTCAGGATGTCTCGAGGGCAGACAGGCTGGGCAGACGAGCCGTGCACGTCGACCGGTGGCCGGAACGTGGTTCGACAATCCGCGGGACCATCATCGAGGAGGACGCCTCCCCTCCTCGAAGATCACACTTCCGGTACCGCGTCGTGCAAAGAAGGATTGAGGTTAGGTGTCTACGGCTGGAGAAAGAGGTGTCTGTACTCTCTGGTGCTGACTTTAATGATCATCGTTATCCTGAACCTGGCTCTCACCGTGTGGCTGCTGAAAGTCATGGGATTTAGTTCTGTAAGTAAAATATAACAATTTTAAATCGTATGCAACTTATGAAACACTGTATCTACAAAACACATCTTTAATTATTTAACATTATCTGTCTTTAACTTATCTGTAAATGAAATTATTTAACTTATCTATAAATGAAATCTACAGTGGACTCAAGTTCATCCTCCTGTTTAATTAACTCATACGTAAAGCTTTATTCTCCAAATAATAAAATATTTTTTCCTTTCTTAAACTTAGAGTGCGGTAAATTAATCACGTAAATGAACACGTTAAATCTTGATTCCCATTGAAAGTAACGCGTACAAAGTTTCAGGGAATACGGAAAATAATGTTTAATTATTTCCACCGTGTAACGTATGCGAAGGGAAAATTATGCCGTGGCGGTATCATTACGGTAGAGAGGTTTAAGCGTAGAATAGTATGCTCCTTTCAGTGTACGAAGAATTAAAATTCTGCCCCTTCCTCGTTAAAAATGCGAGCCTTTTTCGACGAACAAATTATTTTCTAGGATTGCGAACGTCCGTTCTTTGTAAAATACATCCACGGTCATTTTGCCGGACTTTCCGGCCGTTGCCGCTTTTCGAGCACGACGTCACTACGCCGCGCGTCCATTTGCGATATTTCCCGCTGCCACGATCGTTGACTTTGATATCCGTAAACAGAAACGGAGAGACGTGGAGATTCGCGTATTAGGAACGAGGGTCCCGAATGCAACGGGCTTTGGATATGCAAACCGGCTGGCAACCGTCATAACTGAAAATCCGTGTCTGAGCAGCTTTTGTTCGGTAATGAAGCCCGATTCTCGACGTTCGAGGAAGATCGTTTCGCGTTCTCCGCCCTCCAGCTTTCTAGACGCAAATATGACGCGTTCGTTGCATTCGCTTGTTGCATTTATAAGCTATCATGCTGGAATTTAATCGAAAATAAGCACCCTTGGAACTAAGTCGTGTTGCGGAATGAAATTACGAGAGCTGGATATAAATGCTTATTAATAATTTTGGTTACGTTATGTATATTATTAGGATTGTGGGATTTTATGGGAATTTTTTTCTGTAAAATTTAATGGGGGAAGTTTGGGTGAGGTAGGATAGGGAATTTAGGGTTTTGGGAATTGGACTGATGGAGATTTGAGAGATGGGAAGTTGGGCAGGTGGTGGTTTAAAAGTTAGGGAATTGGGCAAATGGAAATTTGATGAATTAGGGAATTAAACAGGTGGAGATCTGAGAATTAGGGAATTGGATAAGTGGAGATTTCAATTGGGCAGGTGGAGATCTGGCAATTAGAAAATTTAGAAATTCAGGGAATTTGAGGATTTGCATCTGTAGGAGATTAAAGTATTAAATGCTTGAAAATTTAGGAACTCTCAAATCCTCAAAATGGATTTGGAAACTAGATAATTTTAGTGTCTAGAGATCAGATTTGAAGGCTTGAGAATTTGGGGATTTGCTTCGGTGACGTGAAAATTTTGAGATCTGTAGATTCACTAACAGAGTTTGGAGAATGGAGGACATACGGGATTCGGTTACTTGAGAGTTAGGGGATTTGGGAATTCAGCGACTGCGAATCTCGAGAGTTAGAGACGGTAACGTGAGAAATTTAGATCTAGAGATTCTCTGTCTTGGAAATCTCGAAATCTTGAAATCAGTGACTTGAGATTTAGTGTTCAATGAATTGAAAATCTTAAGTTACTTTTTAAGTTTGATAACTTCGAGCGTCACCTAACCTCTAAATTCACATATGTTAAAATTTAGAACTTTTATACTCAAAAATTAACAAATTCGAGAATTTAACAATTTTGATAAATTAGCAAACTCCCTTCAACAAATTGGAAGCAATCTTTAATTAAAAGCAGTAAATATTTAACTTCGACTCACATAAACTGATTCTGCCACAATCCTCAAATAAACCCCTTATACTCTAATTTGACAAATGCGTTGAAACTACCTAATCACAGCTACTATATAAAAACCATAAAGCCCAAGAAAGTTGAAACGTTACTTTCAGTATTGCGCAATCTACGCAAATTCGAACCTAACCTCGAAATTCTAAAGAACTACCAAAAATTGATGACATCAGTCACGTGAGACTCGTCGAAAGTTTCAGGAACAATCAAGATAATTGAAAGCAATTAGCCTTAAAAAATAGCGCTATAATTCGTTCGTAGAATGAAATAAAAATTGCTTGAACAAACGCGAAGCTTTTAACCCCAGGGGTCAGCACGGCAGTCTATCGTTGCGCGTTAAAACTCGTTCGTTGATCAACCGTCCTCCCTGTTTCGTGTAAACGCTTGCAGCGTTAATTACACGACCGTCGAATTACGCTCGCGACATTCGCACGCGGTTGCGATAAATCCGCGGCGGTCGCGGCCGAAAGGTTACATTCTCTCCCTCTCTCTCTTTGGACGATATTACTCAACGCCATTAAATATCGCGTTTTGCGCGGCCGGATTTCGGCAATAACGATAATGAAACAACGAGCGCCGGTGGGCCGGGCTTTTTCTAACGACCAGGCTCGTTTCGGCGAGCTTGTTATCAGACCTGCCACCCCGTAACGAACCCTCTACCCTTCTTTTCTATCGTCGAGGAGGCTCGGTTAATTATAAACCAGCTCGAAGAACCGCAAACGACGATTCTCTTCCACGATGTAACGATGTTCCCCTAATTACAACGAATTATATTAAACAGCTTGCCAACACGCCCTATCGCGACCTACTCTTCCTCTTCCTCTTCGCTTCTCGTTTCCGCCCGCGAGACCCGCACGTACAATCTTATCTACTACGACCCCGTTGTTCCCGACAAACTATTATTATATAATTTCCAGCAGCCTGACAGCGGATGATTTTAACCTGCTAGATCGAACTTCGGGCTGTCGATAATCGCTAAGGATTTACCCGGTTTGTGTTCGGATTCGATTAAGGGTGATATGTAGGCTTCTTGTGGGGGATTCGACGTTTGGCGGTCTTGGAAGATGGGTTTGGAAGAGAATACAAATTTTGAAGTCATTCAATTTTTTAATCTATTAAGGCTGCTTGTGAAATTCTCAAAGATCTGCTGAATTTTTAAATTTGAACGTGCAAATTTTTTATGGAGTCAATTTGAAAATAACTGAATTTCCAAATCCATTCTTAAATTAACACATTCTGGAATTATATTTAGTTAGCAAATCATCATATTACTGGATTGTTAAATTATGGAACTTCTGAAGCCCCCAAATACTCAAGGTATCAAATCCTTAAAATCACGTGATCTCAAATTACTAGATTATCAAAGTCGTAAATTCTTAATATATCAAATCATGAAATATCCAACTTCTCAAGTTAAATACTCGATTGCCCCAATTCTCAAGTTATCAAATCTCCAAATCTCAAATTCTCGAGACATCAAATCCTCAAAGTTATCAAGTACTCGAGTGTCCAAATTCTCAAATTCCCAAATTCTCAAATCCCCAAATTGGCAAATCCCCAAAGTGGCAAATCCCCAAAGTGGCCCCAAATCCCCAAATCCCCAAATCCCCAAATCCCCAAATCCCCAAATCCCCAAATCCCCAAATCCCCAAATCCCCAAATCCCCAAATCCCCAAATCCCCAAATCCCCAAATCCCCAAATCCCCAAATCCCCAAATCCCCAAATCCCCAAATCCCCAAATCCCCAAATCCCCAAATCCCCAAATCCCCAAATCCCCAAATCCCCAAATCCCCAAATCCCCAAATCCCCAAATCCCCAAATCCCCAAATCCCCAAATCCCCAAATCCCCAAATCCCCAAATCCCCAAATCCCCAAATCCCCAAATCCCCAAATCCCCAAATCCCCAAATCCCCAAATCCCCAAATCCCCAAATCCCCAAATCCCCAAATCCCCAAATCCCCAAATCCCCAAATCCCCAAATCCCCAAATCCCCAAATCCCCAAATCCCCAAATCCCCAAATCCCCAAATCCCCAAATCCCCAAATCCCCAAATCCCCAAATCCCCAAATCCCCAAATCCCCAAATCCCCAAATCCCCAAATCCCCAAATCCCCAAATCCCCAAATCCCCAAATCCCCAAATCCCCAAATCCCCAAATCCCCAAATCCCCAAATCCCCAAATCCCCAAATCCCCAAATCCCCAAATCCCCAAATCCCCAAATCCCCAAATCCCCAAATCCCCAAATCCCCAAATCCCCAAATCCCCAAATCCCCAAATCCCCAAATCCCCAAATCCCCAAATCCCCAAATCCCCAAATCCCCAAATCCCCAAATCCCCAAATCCCCAAATCCCCAAATCCCCAAATCCCCAAATCCCCAAATCCCCAAATCCCCAAATCCCCAAATCCCCAAATCCCCAAATCCCCAAATCCCCAAATCCCCAAATCCCCAAATCCCCAAATCCCCAAATCCCCAAATCCCCAAATCCCCAAATCCCCAAATCCCCAAATCCCCAAATCCCCAAATCCCCAAATCCCCAAATCCCCAAATCCCCAAATCCCCAAATCCCCAAATCCCCAAATCCCCAAATCCCCAAATCCCCAAATCCCCAAATCCCCAAATCCCCAAATCCCCAAATCCCCAAATCCCCAAATCCCCAAATCCCCAAATCCCCAAATCCCCAAATCCCCAAATCCCCAAATCCCCAAATCCCCAAATCCCCAAATCCCCAAATCCCCAAATCCCCAAATCCCCAAATCCCCAAATCCCCAAATCCCCAAATCCCCAAATCCCCAAATCCCCAAATCCCCAAATCCCCAAATCCCCAAATCCCCAAATCCCCAAATCCCCAAATCCCCAAATCCCCAAATCCCCAAATCCCCAAATCCCCAAATCCCCAAATCCCCAAATCCCCAAATCCCCAAATCCCCAAATCCCCAAATCCCCAAATCCCCAAATCCCCAAATCCCCAAATCCCCAAATCCCCAAATCCCCAAATCCCCAAATCCCCAAATCCCCAAATCCCCAAATCCCCAAATCCCCAAATCCCCAAATCCCCAAATCCCCAAATCCCCAAATCCCCAAATCCCCAAATCCCCA